TTTCTCCATTTCAGGTGAGTTTCGCCTCATTGTACCGCAGGTCGAAGGCACCAATGCCAACCCACTAGTCGTGGTTATCTGTTAGTAGAGGGATGCCTTAGGGACTGTATATAGTCATGTAGTATAGACTGAGGATTCTTGATCTAGGCTTTATCGCATGTTCCTTGTTCGGTTGTGCCTCTAGAGTAGGATCATCTGTTCGGGTGGCTATCTCACCTCTGGGAACTTATGGTTACACATTTCATGGAGGTCAGCTTGTAGCGAGACTGTGTTTTGTGACAGGACTAGTAGGTGGCAGTGAGTTGTATGATTGTTGTTTGTCTAGATTATGTGCCTACATGATCCTTGTTTATTTATATGTCGACATATGGTAGTAGTGGGTTGAGGCATTCCTGCTGTGTGTTGTAGGCCAAGATACCCGATGCGGGACGGCTGTAAGTTGTAGGCATGGAGGCTCTCGGAGAGCGGTTGGGTTGAGGTGGTAGGCCAACAAACCATGGGTATTCCAGCCCGATGGCTGAGTGGACCCGATGCATGCTTGTATGTTTATCATATGGGGTATTTTGGGGGAAAATCGCTAAGCGTTATGCTTTCCCAGTTGTTTATTGTTTCAGGTATCATCGGTGGCTATGGGAAGGCGAAGGCGGGACTGTACACACTCATCAGCAACATTGAGGATTTCATGTTTTCTATGATACTCTGATTTTTAATAAATGTAATTTGGAATAAACGGTTTTCTTAATAATGGAATATAAATTGGGAAGTTTTACCTTAAGAAAAATAAAAAATTTTGGTTGTGGAAAATGGGACGTTAGATTGGGACTTAAGTGTGTGGATTGTTATGCTTTGATATGGTCAAACACTGATGCCACTACTAGAAAAATAGCCTTTTACGACGCGCAATGCATGTCGTAAAACACTCAGATGACACGCAAATGTGTGTCAAGGAAGGCCCTGTCATAACTAAAGACGACACGCATTTGCGCGTCATCTATTTACGACGTGCAGTTACGGCATGCATTTACGAAGCTCATTTAAGACACGCAATGTGTATCAAGGAAGGCCCTGTCATAAAGGAAGACGACACGCATTTGCGTGTCGCAACCTTAAGACGCGCGTTTAGGACACGCATTGCATATCATTAAAGCCCCTGCCATAAATGAAGATGACATGCATTTGCGTGTCATAAACTTCAACAACCATTTACGATATGCATATACGACGTGCCTTTACGATACTCTTTTACGCATAATACAAAAATATAGAAACAAATATATACCAAAACAATCAATTTCATCCAATAACATCATGTCAAAAAATTGTAATAGATTGATACTAAAGGGATCTGATTGTACATTGTTATTAAGAGGTTTTCCCTAACTATATAACCTAATACTACATTGCTATAAAGGGGCACCTTCTTGTTTCAGTAAGTCATCATTAAGCTGTCTGAAGAAGCTATGAAACGTTTCCAATTTCCGTTGTGTCTTTTCCTATTTCCTTAGTTTGTGTACATTGTTGTAAGCAAGTGTGTATTGAAGTCCCCGAGTTTGCATACATAAGCCTTAAAATCTGAAATACAACAAATGAAGTAAGGTGGTGCTAATATGTTTGTTGTTGTTAATGCTCTAAAGGTAAGTTTTTATCATGCCTATTGAAAAATAAATGAACCATACATTGTATGTTACTTGACATAGAAGCACTAGGACATTACAGTGAGCAATAATAACAACCATCAAATAAGAAATGAAAACTTTTCATATAAAAAAATCAAAGCGTTAAGATTCCAAAGTAGTTATAGAGAAAAAAAGATAGATTTAACCCGTTACCTCTGTTTCCATTTTAAAAGAAACTAGGCGCCCCGTGACTACTGCATGCAGCTGCTTCTTGGTCAAACCCAACAACCAAATCCTAGAAAATGCAAAAACCAAGTTTGAATTTCGGTTAATCAATAATTAATAATTAATATATCAACATTTGAAGCACTAGAAAAATGGTTACAACTGAAGTTGGGAAGAAAGGATGTGAAAAAACTACTACAGATTCTTTCATTGACTGTTAAAAACAAATGTATATTGTATATATTGGTAAAAAGAGTAAATTACAACAATGTCCCACAACGAGAAGTATCATATATAAATAGAGAAATAACAATTGTGTTAAAAAAATATTCATATCTTTCCTTTGAGGTGGTTACTAAAAGTAAACTGACTGGTAAATCAATAAATATTAAAAAAATAAAACATATATTGGACTTACCAAAAGTAAACTGACTGTTGTTTCAATTCCACAATCAAGTGTGCAGTTGTGTTTGTACATCTAGTTAAGAAAAGTTTACAATCTGTAAGTACCACCTCATCAAAATGCCAACTGACATTATTAAAATACCCCAAATCGTGACACTTACTAACTGAATTCTAAAAGGTAAATAATTGAAGGTAAAATAAAATACTAAAACTTGCCATGCTGAACTTGCAGATCTCTACTGACATCTTCCATAAGATTCATATTTTTCTTCTTTAATCATCTGAAAAAGTGACAAAATGATTTAAGAATCCCACAATAAGAAGGGAAAACATATAAATGTCAAAGAAAACCTAGATTACAATACAATCAATTTAAGGCCTCGAAATTTCATGTTTAAGCGGAAATATTAAAAAGAGAAATTAGAAACAAGTAAAGACAACACACAACCTTAGACACATTACCATTAACATGTATGTTCAAAACAATACATGAAATGCCTACTGTCATGCTGATTTCACCATTGAACTCCCTAAAACCCTGATATGGTCATTCATGCAGCCCTATAACAAAGCATATTAACTGTAAAGGACTTAATTAAAAAAAATCATTGAAATCTAATCTTTCTTCAAACAATCTGTGACACACACAAATGGTCATCTGTAGGTATCTCTCCATGGTAAGGCACCATGAGTTGTGGGTTCAACGTTTCACCAGCAATAGTCGTGACGGGTCTCTTGAGTTGTTAGGAAGGAAACTTCTTACTATAACCTGCAACCAAAAGACTCAGAAATATCATTATACCCTTCAAGGTAAAATCTAGAAAATGGTTATTTAGTATTTTTTTTAACCTAAACCAGAGATGAGGCAACCCATTAGAAGCCTTATTGAAAGCAAAACATGATAATAGGAGTCGTGTGGCCACATTTTTTAATTGAACATTACTACCCATCCATGTTATTCTTCCACAAAAACCTGGAGTTCTATCCAAGAACTGAGAAGGATCTACAAAAAAACAAAAGGAATTCATTGTGGCATTTACCTCAAATAATAAAATATTGCAAGTTTGTGATTAAAATTCATCAGGCACAACTACAATGAAAAGTTGAGCAGACAAAGTTACATGATTAGTCTTAGAATTGTGTGTAACTTTCACACAGTATAATTAGGTGAAAAACTTACACATATGGGTATAGTTTCAATAGGTGATTGATGTATACATCAACAATAACCTATTTTAACGGCTCCTTTGATTACCCAACCCAATATATGATCAAATGAATTCATTGTGGCATTTACCTCAAATATTGCAAGTTTGTGATTAAAATTCATCAGGCACAACTGCAATGAAAAGTTGAGCAGACAAAGTTACATGATTAGTCTTAGAACTGTGTGTAACTTTCACACAGTATAATTAGGTGAAAAACTTACACATATGGGTATAGTTTCAATAGGTGATTGATGTATACATCAACAATAACCTATTTTAACTGCTCCTTTGATTACCCAACCCAATATATGATCAAATGAATCTTAATTGCCTTTACTGACCTCTGAAAGTAGAAGGGCAGAAAAGAGAACAGTGAAAAAAGGTTCCATGGCTTTAATTGTGTGAGTGGAAAAAAATGCAAAAAAATGCAGCCATCAGAAAAAAAAAGGTTTAAAAAAATGAAAATGACAACACCTTATCCTTCATGAGATTTAGTAATTCGCCACTAGCAAAATCATAAGCAGATTTTATGCATTCAAGATAGTGATCATTCAACCCAAAGTTCATTAATTTTGAATTCTCCAATACAAGCACTTATATTATACATATGTATAAAAGCCTCTAATAATAGCAAAAATTTGAGTAAATTACATTTTTTATCCCTGTAGTTTGTTGAATTCTAAAAATATGGTCCATTAGTTTGATTTTTTAGATTTTGGGTCCCAAAAGCAAGACAAAACAACGTTTTACGGACCAAATGATTAAAAATCAAACTATTGGACCATACTTGTAAGAAACAGCAAACCAAAGGGACAAAATGTAATTAATTAAAAGATACAGAAAGAAACAAGACTTGAACACTATGGCCACATTCTCTCATAACATTCAAACATTTCCTTGTTGTTAAAATGGTTTAAGCTGAATTTGCAAGGAAAGAATACAACTTGAAATCAAAGTCAAAATCTTTCTCCAAACCTGAAAAACAAGGCACTAGTCCCTGAGTTGTGGTCAACAACATACTCTGCACGTACCAAACCAAGCTTGGCTCCAACACCATATGAGGAGCCCTGACCCATTCTCCTGTACACCTCTTTTGGGTTTCCCTTCACATACTTTGAACTCCCCAAATCATTAACATGATCTGCAAATAAGTATACATGTGTGCTCCTCACTGGTATGCGTAGTTTAGTAGCAACATGTAATGTAATTATACAAATCAATGCCCATTTCTTATTTCGTGTAACAACAACAATATGATGATGAACAAATGAAATGTAAGATAAGATAAGAAACCTCAATGATATTTTTGGTTGCAACAATCTCTCCCATGTTGTAACCCCTAAGAGAGTAAGGTCCTCCAAGAGTGAAGGCATCATAACTTAGAAGGTCTCCCATACATCCCCCATATTACAACAACACTTACAATAATAATAATGCAAGAACAAGACAAGACTAGATTCACTGACCTGAAATACATTCCTCTCCCCAACAATTGCTCCATTTATAAACTTGGTGTTGTCCCTTGTGATATTTGCCTGTGCAAATACCATTCGGTCAATACCCGTCCCACTCAGTGTTGTTGGAGGCCCATCTGCACTAATACCACCACTCGACAAAACCATATGCTCATTTCAAGAAATATGACTGCTTTTATCACGTCTTGTGATCTCTTCCATTACAATTCCATATGTAAACTTGCTTTGTCGAGTGAAATTCTGGTCCAAACAACA